CTTAATGGATCTTACAATTTCCTCTTCGCCACCTGCTTTGCAAGAACTCTGTCACAGAAAACAACTCTAAAGCCCCGAGACATTAAGAGTTCCGTTTCAAGGAGTATACCTGCCAACTCTGGTCCAGTTTTGCACTCTCATATTGACCTGATGATGTAGTAAGCCCTTTTTGTTTATACTTGTTACTGAATTGTGGAGCATATGCCCGTAGAGTTCCTACATTTATAGGCCTATAGACGCCTGCTTATGTGGACACGTGCTTCAGATTTAGTTTTTCGATTTTAACTTATTTTGCGAGAGAGAGAGAGAGAGAGAGAGAGAGAGAGAGAGAGAGAGAGAGAGAGAGAGAGAGAGAGAGAGAGAGAGAGAGAGAGAGAGAGAGAGAGAGAAAGAGGGAAGGGAGAGAGGGAGAGAGGGGGAGAGGGAAAAGGAGAGGGAAAGAGAGAATTAGATAGATAAGTATATATATATATAGATAGATAGATAGACAGAGAAACAGAGAGAGAGAGACAACATTATCAGTATCAATTTCAACATTATCATTATCAGAATATCGACTATCAGTATTATCAGTATTAACACACAAACACATATTTTTTCTTATAACAATTACGTTTCATGAATTCAAATCGAATCGTATATAAAGTTTACAATGCACAAGTTATAATTAATTCCTCGCTCACTAAAATCTAAAAGAAAAAAAATCGTTTATTAAGAACTCAAAACTATATATATATATATATATATATATATATATATATATATATATATATATATATATATATATATATATATATATATATATATATATATAAAATCATAAATATACAGTACAGTGCATGAGATAATTAAATCTAAGAGGTTATTTTAGGTCCCTACTTCTTAAAACCACACGAGAATGGATCGCTAAATTATTGGTCTCTTAAAAAAGAAAAGAAAAATTAAAAAGAAGAGGAAAACGTGCTTAAAAAAATGAGCAACGTGAAAGTACATTCCGCTTCTCAAAAATAATAAATAAATAAGCAACACTACATTCTTTTTCACAAATAAAAAAAAGTTAATTTGCACCCACGAACATTGTTATAAAACATATGTAAAAAAAAAAAGAAAGAAAGAAAAAAAAAGAACTACGATCACGTGACCTCCGCGACGCTTCTCCCTGGACGAAGGCGATTTCCTGGACCTGTCTCTCTTTATCCGAAAATATCCGCCTGCCAGAGCCCCTCATCCGTCCTCTGGTATTGCAAGTGATAGCCACAATGCCTCCGAAGTTCGATCCAGAAGCGATCCACTTCGGTAATAAGACTGATTTTGGGGATATTTTGATTTTTCTTTCAGGATGGGTCGCGTTGTCGGTTGGGATGGGACAGTGGCGTTTTTTTTAATCATTTATTTATTTTGATTTATTTGTTCATTTATTTTTGGTAATTCTTAGTTTTGTTGTCGTTAATAGCCCTAACTGTTATATATAATAGGACAAAATTCACTCTGAACGTGGTCTCTTTAGGATAAATTTCTCGTCAAATTCTATGTTTTTTTAAAACGAAAATTTCGAAAATCAACAACAAAGTAAAAATAAATAAATAAATAAATAAAGACATTTAAATATTCAAGCCAAAAGGAATGGAAATATTAGTAGTTTCATCTGAATTTTATTTCATATTTCCTTTAAAGCCACAAATTTTAATTTCTAATTGATTGTATTACATCAAGATGGAAATGAAAGCAAATAGATTATTATTAACGAACTCATGTTTATTATTATTATTATTATTATTATCATTTAGAAATTATGAGTGTATCTTATTTAAACACTTTTATGGTAATCATTAAAACATTAAATATTTTCGATTTGTATTATTTCGACAAGTGTAATAATTTCGTATTTCACGTTAATATAAAACTGTATATTATGCTATACTATATTATAAATTAATTTTTAACGGTTTCTTTTTTCTTAATTTTGTGTTATATATGTATGTATGTATGCGCACTCTCAGTCCCGAAAATACGTTTATTAAATGTTTTGTTAATTCAAACGCGCTCCCCAGCAGTGCCTGAACGTGAAAATCCAGCTGCTTGTATTAAATATGAAAGTTTGAATTAACAAAACAAAAAAAAACAAAAAAAACAAAAAAAACTTAAACGTACGCCCTTAGGTAATGCTCGTCAGTCCTCCTATTAATCTATTTTTAACCATAGGTGTTCCGCCGTCCTTCCTATACTGTGTATATTTCTACACTGATATGCATGTATGTATGCATGTGAGTTTAATGTATGTGTGTGAACATGTATGTATAAGTTTTTTTCAATCAATGGATGTCAATATGTATGTACAGTAATTATGAATGTATGTATGATGTAATGTATGTGAAAGATTGTACCGAGATAGAGCGCTAGAGTTACTGTGGCTGAGTACCGTCATAAGTAAGCTGGGGGCAAAGTCGGGGCGGAGAGGAACTGTGCTCCCTAACCAAGTGGGTGAACTTGACTAGCCCTAACGCGTAACATGTATGATTGTATCTACGGATGCAGTGTATGAATGTATACGTAGTAATTGTGGATATATAAATGCATGTATTAATGAGAGTATGTCAGTTCATAAAGTGTCTATCGAACTAATTGTGTTCCCTTAGGATGAAGACAATGCTATCTGTTCCGCCACCTCCCGTTTTCGCTTGTTTGTTTGTTCGTTTTGTAGTTTGGCTGTTATGGACACCGGTTGCCATCCTAAACTGGACTAAGTTGAACTGACAGCAACCAGTCTGTCATGGGTGTAGTCATTTAAACGTGTCATACGTAATAAAAAAAATAATCGTATTTTAAAAGTAAATCTAATCTTGCTTCCTATCTTTGTCTAACTTTACTCTGACATCACCAAACCTAAGCCTGACCTAACCAGTAGAATTTAGACTTTGCTTCATGACTAGCCTACCAGGTTAATGCGAAGGATGTTTTGAATGTGTACATCATGTTAAGGGCCCAGCCACACAAACACTTTTTTCCCCGTTAATTTGTGCGTTTCCGTCTAATAGTGAGGATTTCTGCAAGTATCGTATAACGGCCGTTTCCGTCTGACTATTTTCCGTCTCGATCTTGTATAATGGAGGGTCTGTACAGTTAGAATTTTTTATTTATTTTATTTTATTTATTTATTTATTTATTATTATTATTATTTTTTTTTTGGGGGGTGGGAGTAAATTTGAAAGAGTAAGTTAAATGTAAACATGAGTTAATATTCTAGAATATTTATTTACATCAGACATTATTTTTCTTTAAAATAATGTGATATGTATGAAAAATGCTCGTGTGATTCCCGGGTGCTCTCAGTCCATTTGCATACGGAAATTTCATACGGAAACGCAAAAAAATATGTAAAAAAATGGCAGTGTGATATTGGCTTTAGAGTTATGTATATATTAATCACATAATAAGTACGCACGTATATACATGTGCATATACGCCTGTGAGTGCATGTGTATCGTATCTCGTGTCTTGTGTTTATATTTGTGTGTTTATGTTTTCACAGATTCTCTTTCAAATTTTCAGCTGGTTCCTTGTACGTTAATTTCTTTCACGTTAAATAAACTCAAGGTGTTTACATTCAGGGCCTTATGACTGAGCAATTATTACCAATTCTCTCAGTTCACTGTGAAATAGGATAAAATTCAATCCTATGGCATTGAAGTCCTTACTCCTTACGTCCGCCCCGCCCCCCCTAACCCCACCCCCCCCTTTCCAGTATCAGTGCGCTGCAGAGGCAACCGTATTCCTCCTACGAACATCTTGGCCAGCAAAATCGGGCCCTTGCAGCTGAACCCGAAGAAGGTGTGCGAGCAGATCTGCGAAGCCACCCGCGACTGGGCAGGGCAGAAGATCACGGTCCGGATCACGGCGCAGAACCGGCAGTGCAGGACGGAGGTGGTGCCCTCTGCCGCCGCCTACATCATCCGGGCGCTCAAGCAGCCGGGCAGGGAGAAGATCGGTGGGTGATGGGGGAGGGGGTGTGGGGTGGTTGGGGCGTTGGGGAGGGTGGGGTGGGTGGGGAGGGGTGTGGGTGGGTGGGTAGGATGGGGGTGTGGGGTGTTGGGGAGGGTGTGGGTGGGTGGGTGGGATGGGGGTGTGGGGTGGTGGGTGGGGGTGGGGAGGGGGTGTGGGTGGGTGGGGGGATGTGGGTGTGTCGCCGGGTACATCATCCGGGCTCTCAAGCAACCAGGCAGGGAGAAGATCAGTGGGTGATGGGCAGGGGGGGGGTGGGGGTTGGGTTGTGGGTAGGTGGGATGTGGGGGTGGGGGTTAGGGTGTGTGGGGAGGGGGTGTAGGTGGGTGAGTGGGATGTGGGTGTGCGGGTGGGGTAGGTTGGTTTGGGAGGTGCGTGTGGGAGGTTGTATACATGTGTGTGTGTGTGTGTGTGTGTGTGTGTGTGTGTGTGTGTGTGTGTGTGTAATGTACATAATAAATATGTTTCATAGTTATAACATACATTCCTGCTACACTTAAACACACACATAAGAAAGAATAACCGAAATAAAACGTAACTGACAACTACACACCAAACAAAACAATCAAACACAAAGATAAATATACAAACCAACCACAAATAAACAAGAGAGGTACTAAACAAAACAAAACAAACAACCAACCAACCAAAGACCCAGACATTCCAAAAAAATAAACAAAAAACATTCATTTGCAACAGAGGGTCACCGTGGGAATTTAGCCTTCCACGAGGTCATTGAAATCGCCCGGCAGATGGCACCTCGCTCAATGGCCAAGACGCTCGCTGGCACTGTCAAGATGGTGCTCGGGACGGCACAGGTTTGGCGCTGTTGTTGATGTTATTAATGTTGTTTTGTTGTTGTTTTTGTTGGTGTTACATTATTACTATTCGTGTTAGTTATTATTTTTATTAGTGTTATTATCATTATTTTTATTAGTGTTATCATCATTATTTTCATCATTGTTGTTATTTGTATCATTATCATTAATATTATTATCATTGTTATTTCTATTATCATTAATATAATTATTGTTGTTGTTTTGTTGTTTTAATATTATTATTTCTGGTATTGATATAGTTATTGTAATAATTATAATAATGATCAAATAATTGTTATTGCTGTTTTTGTTATTTTTGTTATTAATATTACTGTTATATTTTATTATTTTCATTGTCAATTTTATCTTTACTGTCAACATTATTACCATTATCATTATTGCCATTATTATTATTATTATTATTTTTGTTATTATTATTATTATTATTATTAGTGGTATTATGATTATTATTATTATTAT